GGGTGGGGGTTAGGGGAAGGTTTTATTTTGGGGAATTATTAGGAAGAGGTGGCCGAGATATAAACCATGTTATAAAAGGTAATGATAGGGGTTTGATGTTATATTTGTGCAATCATTATATGCCTTATTCAACGTCACACTTGAGAAGGATATAATTGACCTTCCAAGGAAAATTAGTGACTTCTTTTTGTTGGGGGGTCTCAATTTAATTGTTTTAATTTGGTTAGACAAAAAAATCTAGTAGATTGTTAATCTTCCCTATAATAGTGGTGTCCGGACTCAATTAGTATGCACGTATTGTTACTTTTTATTTTAGTAGTTTAAGTGTACGCGCAAAATTAAAATGCGTACCTCATTTGACAATAAATATTATAAAAAAAATTGGATTTAGTTACAAATTTCGTTATTAATTCGTTGCTAAATTGCTTGCCGTTAAATTTTATACTTGTATATGTGCTTTGCATGCGCATGTCATCCTCAATAAGTAAAAAATGTAGTATACAAGAAGAATAAATTATTGCAAAGTATTATTTGATAAACTTTATTATTGGTGACGTTATGGTAAAAACTCCTATTATTAATTATTTGAATGATATTGTTTTGTATCTCTTTAATTAAAGTACTTTTGAATCGTGACACTAAATGATATATTTATTTAGACTTATTTTCAGCACACTTCTTACCAAAATAGCCTATATAATTTTGTATAAGATTATACTAATTTAATGTCTAAGAAAATAACAAATGACTTTTTTGTCATTGTGGGACCTTTTAGTGAATCGAAAAAGTTCAATCAAAGACCTTATCATTTTTACTTTTTATATTATTTATTTGTGCATTGAATTTATAATATGTATTATGTAAAAAAATATAAAATAAATTAATTAGATTGGTTTTATTTCTAAAACTTTTGTAAACGAATTGTATTAAACTTTATCACTTGCGACTTTATAGTAAAAATTCCTCTTATTAATTATTTGTATGATATTGTTTCGTATCTTATTAATTAAAAATACTTTTGAATCGTGACACTAAATGACATATTTATTTAGACTTCTATTTTCAGCATATTCTTACCAAAATAGGCTATACATTTTTTGTTTATGATTATACTTATTTAATATTTAAGAAACTAGCAAATGACTTTTTCGTCGACTATAAAAAAAATTAGTGAATGATAAAAAGTCAACATTTCTAAGGACCTTATAATTTTTATTTTTTATATTATTTATTTGTGCATTGAATTTATAATATATATCCTGCAAAAAATATAAAATAAATAAATTATTGGTTATATTTCTATAACTTTTGTAAACGAATTTTACGTAAGTCTTTTCTAAATATAATTTGCTGATTTATTTTCTTGTAATTATAGTTAGTGAAGGACTCCTTCCTATTATTATGAGACAAAAATAGGTTCATGTTTCTTTATAGTTGCTAGAATAAGTTAATTCTAACCCATCTTTTTAGGAGATTCGCATATGCAATTTAATTCCATTTGAAAAAACAAATAAACAATCCAAAGTTCCGAATAACTCTTGTAAGTAAACAAATAAAATTCTCTCCTTTAATTTAATATATTTCAGAGTATTAATGATGCATTGTTACCATGGGAGCATTTAGTGTTTCTTTTATAAGGAAAAATATTTAAAAATATTTTGAGAAAAATAGTAAATAACAATTTTGTCTATAAAGCGTCGCGCCAAACAATATAAGAGAATAAATTATTGGAAACGTCAAACAAAATATTTCAGGGCCCTTTCTGTAAATTAAATATAACAATTCTAAGTTGCAAATTAGCACATATTACGTTAAATTTTTAACTGTTTAGAGTTCAACTATTTATGTTTCACAATCTATAAATTTTTTGCAGTTTTAATATAATTACTATCTCAAAAATATACAAAGGAACACACATTCACAAATAGACATATATTACAAATAGCGAAAGAAACATCGACTTTAGATAATTTTAGCATGTCGAATAACCCATGGAAGTCGCCAAGTATGGGATTAATGAACTTGACAATTACTGTGCAAGAAATTATAATCCTATACAGAAAGAAAAAACTTTATTGTAGAAGGGCTACAAGAAGCAAATTGCACTATTATTATTATAATAAAAGAGAAACCACAATATAACTAAGCAAAAAAATCTCAGCACTTTAAATGAACATAAAAGCATACCTGGTCGGCTGACACTATAGATTGCAATAAAATCAAAAAGAGCATAAGCAAGAACTTTAGCGGAGAGTTTATGTGGAGTTCTAAATTGAAAGTCAAAATTATTGTTAAATATTAATTCATGAAAATATACTACAAAAAATAAAAAGCTAAACCTAAATCAAATCAAAACAAACTATGAAACAAATTGGACAACTATACGTTTTCAATTCTCCAAATTTACTTGGAGATATACTTATATAGTGACTTCTTCAAGTCTCCATATTTGGAAAGAAATCAAAGGGAATAAGGACTTTCTTTTAATAAATTTGTGCGTAACTATTAAGTGAAATATTATAAAAATAATTAGGCAATAATTTGAGGAAAATAGTAAATGACAATTTTGTCTATTGTGATGGCTTTTAATGAAGGGTAAAAAGTTCAATCAACATTTCGCTAAGGGCCTTCGTGCTTTTAATATAGTATAGATAGATATAGATTAGTACATGTATCGAATAATTTTGACTAATAAAATATGGACAACAATAACAACAGTAATATATTCAGTATTATTTTGTGGAAATAAATAGGTTGTTTCGATAGACCCTTGGCCTAAAGAAAGTAAAATAATAAAAAAAAATTGAAAAATAAATACAGTAGTGGAGAAGCAAAACGAAAACAATAACAACTGCAAGATAGTAAGATAATTGGAGTACAAGAAAACATCAGGTAGTAATAGAGTTCTGAAAATAAGGAAATACGATAATAATACTAACACTATTGTTATGAGAATCTGGTCCTTACATTGTTGATATCATTTTCCTGGCCTTGTTCTTGTTATTTACTTGTTCTTATTCTTCCTCTCAAGCCAAAGGTCTTTCGGAAATAGTCTCTTTTCCCTCTAGAGTAGAGGTAAGGCCTGCGTACACATTACCCTCTCCAGACCCGATTCATGGGATCCCACTGGGTTGTTGTTGTTACTACTGTTATGAGAAAAAAAATATGTTTGACTACCTAATATCCATCTACTCTATTTCATTTTTCTGCTTTTGTTGTTGTTATTTACTTGTTCATATTTTCCTCTCGAGCCGAGAGTTTTTCGGAAACAACTTCTCTGTCCTCCAGGGTAGGGTAAGGTTTGTGTACACATTACCCTCCTCATACCCCATTTGTGGGATCCCACTGGGTTGTTGTTGTTACTACTGTTATGAGAATAAAATATGTTTGACTACCTACTATCCATCTATTCTAATTCTTGATCTCCACATCCTCATATCGAAGGGCATATCCTCGATAAACTGAAGAAACTAACAAAATTGATACGAACAGGAAAAAATTATTACCTAGCATTATATTATATTTGCAGAAATTAAAAATATTTTTTATAATTTTCACTCATTTTATTAACCGCTACAGGCTTAGAACACACCTTTGGATACAAATGGGATTATTATTAAGATCAGATTCATTTGGTTGGATTGTTGTAGTTTTCCTGTCATCAAAATAAATAACATTGTTAAACAAACTAATAAAATGAGCAAAATACATGTGAAACATCAAATCGTCACATACACTTGGAAAAATAGAAAACGTTATGCTTGTTTTTCAAACTGATTAGATAATGAGTCAATC